GTATACTTTTAAAAAGTAATTCTGTATAATGTATCATATACATTAATACATTTATTATATTTTATGTACTAAACATCTAAACAATTTTATATAATTAAAATAAATTCCTTATATATTTTTTAGGCAATAGTTGTGTACGTACATTAAAATCAAACAGACTAAAGAGGAACCGTATGTGGAAATCATTAATTAAAAAAAGTAAACATTTCAATATACCCAAAATAAAAACTAAACCAAATTCCAAAGTTGTAGTTGAGATTTGCTACACTAAGTCTGTGGTAGATGTTATATGGCAGGTATGTAATTTAATACATTTTATACATTATAACCCAATTAAGAATATACTGAGGATTAACCGTATTCAGTTTTTGGTTTGCATAATCYAGAGGTATTCAAACTTTTTACCGCGCTCATTTGGGTGTTCAAAATATTTTGATAACTCCTTAATAATTATGAAAATATTGAAATAACATAGGGATGATAATAACTGACTTTAGTTCCATAATGATTACAAATAATATTTATAATAATCATACATGACCTTCTTATAAAGTTGGTTTTTGGCACCTTGATGCGGCTTCTTTCGCAAACTCTCGTGACACCCCTAGGAGCCGCAACGCCAGTTTGAATGAATACCTCTGGCATAATCCTAACTTGGAGATTCCCAACTACGATTAATATCAATCATTGGTGACTAATCTCTAAAACACTGAATATACAAAAAAATCTGCAGAAAATTACTAGGTTATAAAGAAGAAACTTTATTATAACAAACCTAGAAATCAAGATTATTTCCATTGTTTAGTTTATTTATATTATATATCCAGTATCTCCTAATTTGGATTCAATTTTAATAATACAAAACTTATTTGTTAATAGGATGGTACTAGAGAAACGGGAGTTTCGTCCACTGAGCTCTACCCAGTACAAACTCTTGATGATCTTGAGTTTTTCCCTGGCGATTTTGTTACAGAAAAAAATCCTGCATCTGATGTTTATGGTGTTGTAGAATCTGTAGACCACGCAGAACGCACAGCTCATATACAGTGGTTTAAAGTTTATCCTGAAAATCCATCTTTGTATGAATAAATTATATTAATATTTCTTGAAACCAATATTGAATCTAATTTAACTGTTTTTTTTTAGACCAAATCCTATTGAAAAGACTTATTTTAGTGTATATGACTTGCGTGATCATCCTGATTTCCATTTTAAATCTGGTTGTCTTATTATACATATTAATCCTGATACAAATCCAGATTTAAATACTTTAACTGCTGGACAAGTATTAAGTGCAGGTCCTGATGGAAGGGTAATTTTTTTATAACATTCATTAAATAATAATATATCTGTTTAAATTATTAACATTATTGTTTGTATACTGTTTCAACTATTTGAACTGTTTAGATCTTAGTGATGTGGGTTAATGGTGAAAAAACCGAATGTTGGCCTCAAGAATTATTTGTTGTCAAACTAAATGATGATGGATTCAGTTTTCAAGATGAAGAATATGAGGATGATGATGATGCACCTCTTGCTGTTGAAGATGACTTATCGGAAGATTGGATGTCTGTTACCAGTCCTGGATCATCTAAGTAAGTTAATTTATATTTAGCTAAGTTGTGATAAACTAAATAATCATGGAAAAATTATAATTTCAAACATTTTCCAAATAATTTTGTTTTCATATTATATTTGTCATATTGTGTAGTAGAAGTTATGATCCAAAAGATGAAGAGCAGAAATATGCAAAACTATTAATCCAATTACTCAAACAATCTGCTACCAGTATAAATTTATTTTTAGATGCTGTTCAACAAAATTGTGACTTAGATAAAGTTCTTAAATTAAAAAAAGCTTTGGAACAATATAGGTAATTTATCAGTTAAATTAAAAAATTACTTAACAATTTTAAAAAAATAGTAAAAGTAGTGTACTAATGTATAGGTTAGGATTTAACGTTAGTTCGTTTTTGCCAACTTCAGAATATAAAGAAATAGAATCATGGTACAAGGATCTCATGGATAATATCTCAAAATTAATAAACAAAATAATCTCAAGAATAGGTATTATATTTTAATGTTTTTAATTAAATTTCTCATATATATGATATAGTCCATGACAAATGAACTGGTAGTTGGTGAATCTGCTGACTGTTCCCCTCGACACTAGCAATCATAAGGATATATTTTAAGTAACACTCAAATACAAAAACCTCATTCCTATAGGTATATAGGTATGGGGCGCTAAATAAATTTGTAGCACCAAATTTTGAATACGTTATGTTGGCCAGAGTCACCAACTGTCAGTTTGTTGTGTGGACTATGGATGGAGCCATAATTAGTTGTTAGAACTAGATTGATAGCACTATTTTTGTACAGGGATTCACAAGTAATTTTGGCATAGAATTAAATTAATTCAAAGTTATTGATAAGTAGTTTATGTATTATAATATATACCTAACTGTTCTGTTTTTTGTATTAGTAAGTCAATTGGTTAATGTTGCATATTTACGTACACAATTAATAGTGGCTTCATTTTTCATATATGATCTATATTTATTTTATAGTTGAATGCATATTTTTATAGATAATAAAGAGAAAGAAAAAGGAGAAATAGTTGAAGAAGAAGAATCATCATATGAGACTTTAATTAAAGTAAATAATTGAAATATAATTTAAGTTCATASTATTTAATATTTAATCAATCTATGCAATATCCATGAAAAGTGACGAAATATTTAATAAGTAATCGATGAATAATAATCTAGTTGTAATTGATCCCTTAAACATGATTTTGTGGTCCATGAATGGTCTATTGAATTTCATTGAAGCATTAAATCAAAATATTTTTAATGTTAACCAGCATTAATAACCTATTTATTTTTAGGACAGTGTAACTAAACTTAAACAGGTTGTGTCAGATTTCATAAAAAAAGTTAATCTTATTTTTAATGAATCATATCGTTCCAAGTATGGAATAATATCAAAAAATTGTGATACGAAAAACCAAAATGAACACGATGACACTGGTATTGAAATAATGGACATTACTGAGCCAAAATCAGTACCTCCAGTAATTGAACCTAATCCTGGTGAATGTCGTTTTATTAAATTGGAGACAGGACCAGTATGTGAAGTCATAACCAAACCAGAAGAAGCTGGAGGTTTGTAAAGACTTAATATCCCTAAGTTTGTAAAATGTACAATTGCTAATGTTGTTTATCAAATAAGAAAATCACTTCTCAATTTACATCAGATTTATATTATGTAACAGAATGTTTATAGGCAAATATTTCACATTAAAATGCATAAATAAATTTTAGTTAAAAATAAAAATAATTTTATGAAAATAAATAGTTTAATTATAATCTTAATACTTTAAATAAAGTTAAACGAGAACATAGCATAAGTAGGTTTATTAAATTTGAATACAGTGATAAACCATTTATACTTGTATACATAAATTTGATTATAAGTTTAGGAAACAAGCAGTGGTGTATTGGAKGGTATACCCACGTATACCTTCAAACATTTTTTATTGAATTACCAATTGTCTTATAGTTATAATCGTTAGAAAAAATGTATAAGATCAATTTTTTTACCGCAAACAAAACAAAATTATGTGATAAAAAGTAAGTTATAACTCCATCTCATCCTAGTGCATGGCGTAAATATGTTCAAAAACCTTTTTTCTGGGGGAGGGAGGGAGAGATAAATCAATTTAAATATAAAGACGCGGTGGTATATCCCACGGCTCACCATAAGTTAATTTTAGATTTGGTGAGAAATTTTTTTTGAGAGAGAGAGAGGATTAAGCTCCCCACCACTCTCCCCTCAATATACGTCTATATGCATACCCTAGAGAAAAATTACGAATATATCACTGGTAACAAGGATTATCAGCTTATATTTCAAAGACATACTTGATTTATATTATTATTAATTTCTCAATCCTGTAGTTTGAATTAAATTTGCCCAAATAAATTAAATATAAACACAGAATTATATGATATATACTTATGGGATAAATAATTTAAAATAAGTTWAATTATTTTGAACATTTYGCTTATGTTTCCCATATTGTAGTAGCGTGATTAATTTAACAGTATTTCCTAAAAGGTATGCATTTCGTACTTACTCATACAATTTTGTCCATGTAAAACAGGCCTTAGGCATTTTATAAAGATTCTAAATTAAAATCTTAAGCCAATAAAATAAAATGTTATTTTTAATTTATCTWTTTAATTTTACAGTTTTTGATGTGGTAGAAACGCTTATGGATAATTCACACAAATACATCAATGACAAAGAAAATTTACATTCATCATTACCAAAAGTTATTGCCAAAGACATCCAAGTACTTCAAAAAAGTTTACCAGCAGGAATTTGGGTGAAAACTTTTGAAAATCGTGTGGTAATTAACAATATTTTATTATAATGAATATAAAAAAATCAGAAAAGTAAATGTCGCTCTGCTCTACAGTAGGTTACAAGTGGGTTACTGTAATGGATAGAATTAAATTTGAATTCAATGATATTATATCATTGTATACGAAAAACGATTCTGAGCAGAGATGGTTTATCTGTCTAGGATTTATTATTATAGATATATAATATATGATATATATTATTATAGATATTATAGATTATTATTAATACTTATAAAATATTTGACTTTCCGGTGGACATTTTTTTTTTTTATAAAGGTAAACAAACATAAGGAATCTTGAATTAAATTTTCAAATCTTAGATTTAAAAACAAAATTTTTTATGAATTTCTAAGATAATTTGAAGATTTTTGTAAATTTTACGTATTTAGTCTAAATTTGAACTTCAAATGCTTTTTGACCCAATCAATAAAATTTTATTGACATTAATAGGAAAAATAATAAAACAGTTGAAAAATTAAAATGTCAGTAAACAGCTCAAAAAAAAAAAACAAATGTAGAAAATGTCTATGTAAACATCAAGTGAAATTTTCAAGTATCTGTGATAATTTGTTTTAGAGTTACACCAAAATAAGAAAATCGCTAAATGTGAAATCTAGTGAAAATCCAATGTCGTAAAAATTTAAATTTCAAATGCTCATAAAAATTAAATTTAACTTTCTGGTGGATATTTTTTTTGTGATAAAGGTTGAAAAATCTTGGATTTAAAAAGATAATTTTTATGAATTTCTAGCTTAAAATGATTTGTGAATTTTACGTATTTAGTCAAAATTCAAACATTGAATGTTTATAAAAAAAAATTGCGGCTATAAAATTATTTAATACTTCAACTGCTATTGTTACAATATGTTAGGAGCTTTGTATTAAATTCTCAAGCTTTTTCTACACAACAAATACATTTTTATCGATATTAATTTTTAAAAAAAAACTAATAATAATCAAAAATTGCATATGCCTATAAATAGTTCAACTTAAGTCAAAATTTTTTGAAAATTCTATGATGGATAAAAAATACTTATATTAACATTCGGTGAAAACTACATGTATCTATGGTCATTTGTTTTAAAGTTACATCAAAGATCAAAATTATTTTTTCAAAATTGATTAGTGCATAAAAATCCAGTTTTTCCCTTAATTTTTAGTTTGTTTATCACGATTATTATAAAAACTTTTGACCCTCCCGAAGTACCAACCAGATTCATTTYCTGATCGAATAAGGTACTGAAGTTGATAATTGTATCATTTTTACTGCCCCAAAACATGATGACAGACACAAAAAAAGACATCATCGTAAAATCAATACATCCCTCGTTCCGCTCAGAATCTAAAATTCGTTTATTAATTTAGCAATATTAAAATACTATTATTWTTTTWATTTTTTTATTTAAACCTCAACAACTAAGGTTATTGGCTTACATTAACATTAATAAAGATACATTTATATATTATATAAGGTTGTAAAGTTTAGTTCTTTGTACTTTGTAGAAATAATACTATTATTATTTGAATAACAGTCATATTATTAGATAGAATAAGGTGACTAAATATAAAAGTTTTTCTAATATTACCTTCATTATTAATTATTTTAGGATTTGTTTTCTATAATGATTAGAGGACCAGAAAAAACTCCTTATGCTGGTGGTTTATTTCTATTTGATGTCAAAATTCCACCCACATATCCATTCCAACCTCCACTCTGTCATTATTATAGTTATTGTGATGACCGGTTAAATCCAAATCTGTATGAAGATGGAAAAGTATGCCTTAGTCTTTTGGGTACTTGGTMTGGTCATGGAGTCGAATTATGGTGTCCTAATGATTCAAATTTATTACAGCTTCTAGTATCAATACAAGGTAGTGATAATGCAACTTTATACTTACTCCCATATTAATATTTTATAATTTTTTCAGGACTGATTTTGGTGAGTGAACCGTATTATAATGAGGCTGGATTTGATTCTCAGCGAGGTCAAAAGCTTGCAAAAGAAAACTCTCGTGTTTACAACGAAATGGCTTTGATCAAAGTAGTGCAGTCAATGACAAATATGTTAAATATGAATAATTCGTAAGTTAAAAAAAAAAACAAATTGCTAATCCTTTGACCACTGCATTAAAGTATGACTATAAATTACTGATCTGCATTTGATTAATTTTATTAGAAATAGTTTTATTAATTCAAAATTTCCATTCAATATACTGTAAATTAAAAGAAAGTKAATATTCAACAATAAGTTTTCAGTGATATAAAGTGCTGCTGTCACGTACACATTACAGCAATTAGGTATAGTCAAAGGGTGAAATATTTCTTTTCTTTTAAAATTTAATTAAGGTAAASGTTCAAATTGTTAAATATGTAATAAGTTTTATTTGGGTTATGTATATTTAGTCTGCTATTAAATTATATACTATATACATTGAAACTTCTATATTACAAAGTCCCACTGAGTTTTTTGTGGTTTATTGGCCCACTTATAAATTTAATATCAACACCCCCACATATACTATGGTCTGTGCAAATCTGTAAAAATAAAAATAGTATTATACAAAATTTTGTTAAATAAAATAAAATTGATTTGATTTTAAAAAATATGATGTTAGTTGAAAGTTTCAATGTACTACTACCAGAAGTTACCTAATGGCGGTTCTCTGACAAATTTTATCTAAGCCACAGATGAGTAAAAACTGTTAATTTTATATTTTCTAGTGATGTAATTTATTATTTTTGTTCATTAGTTTTTACCAGAATTACAATTTTGATTGCCCACAAACAATTTCCAGATTCTTATAGTGACCCTTCAAAAATAGCAATTGGTGACTCCTACTATATACATTAAGAAATTTAAATTCAAATTTTATACAGTGACGAAGTTCACTGAAATTTTGCMAATAAAGTATTCACAATAATAAATTATCTACAAAATCACAAAATACATACCTACTTGATCTATGCATGAAAAATTGAAAAAATACTACAATATCAWATTATCCAGTTATTTGGGATTATAAAAAGCYCTCTCTATCCCCATTGAAAAAGYTTATTATTTCTATATCATCAAGTTATAACTATTATTAATTGTTGTGTTATTTTTATTTTTCATTTAGAGGCGTTAAAAATACAGGGTATTTTAAAGAAGAAATACTGGAACATGTAAAAATTCATGGTCCAAAGTATGTTTTTTGTATTTTTTTAACTATGTAGTAGGCAGAATGATTTTAATTGTTTGACATATTTATCAATATCTTTAGGTTAATCAATACAATTGAAAATTGGATTAAAATGTCTGAAAAAGAATTAACTGAAGGTAATAGCTATTAATTCAACAATAATTAGTTCATTATTTATTTTGATTGATATAGTTTACACCAAATAATATTAACTATTATATAGTATAATCCCATAATTTTTTGGTTATATTTTATTTTTAGATGAAAAACTTGTTCCTGGATATCCATTACTACCACTTTCCAAGGGTTTTTGCCTATCAATCATCAAAGCACTAAAAGATTACAAAGAAGTATTGATTTCCATGAATATCATGTTTGAATAGTCATTAGTAACTTTCAATTGTTTTATTCTGTTCAAAGAAAAACATATATAAACATTAAATTTATTGTTTCTATAAACTATTAAATGTATTTATTCTTTATCTTTAACTTCTCTAGCTTTCAATATATTTAATTTATCTAAAGCTATATTATCTGTTATTCACCAACTACTCATATTTAGACGAGAAAACAAATATGTGATTATAGAAAATATAAACTACATACAAAACAATTTTTAAATATAGTAAAGTAAATATTGTTAAATATTTTTATTCCATTTGTTGTATTGTTTAATTTTTTTTGTTTATTTTGTMATGTATATTATTTGTAAACTATTGTTAATTTTGTTTTATGCCTTAAACATATTACATTATAGGCTTTTGAAACATGTAAAATTAAATATTTTTTCTACTTAATTATAGTAACTTAAACATAAATTTGTTTTTGTTTTCATAAAACCTTAATCCTTTTACAGTTAACACTGTGTGTCTATGTATACRATTTTTTAATAATGCATATAGTATTTCTCAAATAGAGGTTAAATATTAAATATTAATACAACTAAAAATACATTGTATTTTCAACATCTTATTTATAATATATGCATGAGTGTATTTTGAATTTTGTGTGTTCAGCTGTTTACTTAAAAACTTAAATGCATAACTATTATTATTTAGACTGTGATTGTGTCAAATAAATTATTGAGAACAATTTTTTCATCTTTGTCATTATTATATTGTAGATCTAAAAATATACATTTTTAAATCTATTCCACGAGAGAATAATCAGACTACAAACTGATTCTCATCAGTGCTGCCTGTCTCTCACCAACTTCCTGGTGTTAGCGTGATCATGTGACTCTCAATGTACTAATCAAATCATTTGTGATGTTTAAAAAATATTTATTTTCTCATTAAATAGACTACAGTAGTGTATGATTAATTTTAAAAATGTACTTTGAATCTATACTCCATTCACATTAAGAAGAAACCTTGGTAACTGATTTTTACGCATCGGCGTAGCTTAATGAAACAGATGGTTGACTCTGTAGAGATGACAAACAGGTTTTGCCTGACAAAAACTAGTCGCCTCACAGTGGTTAAAAACGTAATCTAGCTTGTCTAAATGAAAATTTAAGATTATATTACATACAAGTATACAACTATTGACATAAAATCATTATTGGTTAAATATTTATTTGAGATGAAATGATTAATGATAAAGGTAGATATTTCTAACTTTGATGAATTCCTAAATTAGCATACACAATATATAAAATTGAAGATAAAATGTATTGCGTTTACTTTATCTTGTCACATGGTACTAAGTAGTGCACACGTTTTTGATTTGATTTTTTTTCTTTCGATATATATTATAAATATTRCAGAACAAGGTAAATATATTTTTAGAAGTTTTAAAATTTCCAATTTTTTAATATTTTTAAATTTAGAAAAGGAAGTTTTAAAAATGTATTATTTTTTACAATTTGACAATACATTAAGAGGTTTGCTAACACTGGCCTATTATATTTAAATTGTATGAATGACATAATATTATCATTTATTAATAATGTTTCAATAATAGAATTGATTCATGTTAAAGAAGTGAGTTTTGGAAAAGGAACTTGCATAGATAATTAAAAACTATTAACTTCTAACAATCATTTACAATAAATTCACATAACAAYGAAGTTTATACAAAATATTTATTAAAAATTAAAATATATCATCACAAAACAAAAATTATTAAAYTTTGTATCTTTCATACATTACACAAGTTAAGATGTAGTTGAACTTTAATTGWGACTTAATTTATTTAAGTCATATTAATATATTTAAGGCTATTTTATTTATATTTAACAATATTTTAATTTATAGTATATTAGTTAATACATATAAATTGGGCTTTAAATAAAAATTATAACAAACTCAAATCTAATATTAGCCATAAAAAAACATATATTTTTCACACGGTTATAAGATATTACATTACTGATATTTATCCTTTCTTAAAGTTTAGTGTTACTTTATTTAACACTGTTTTACAACTTATGTTCAAAATGTAACTAAGGTAATTGGCAACMAGATCTTTATGTTTGATAMGAGTGAAAAAAAATTACTTAATTAGTCCAAGTTAATATATCATTCATAGCAAATCGATGAGTCCAATATCGTGCAATATTATTGTATGTATGTCGATCATTTTTGTATAGACGTGCAATGTCAGGTTCCATGCATACATCACAAAATGGATCAGTTAAAAGCGACTGAATAGAAATCAATACTTTAGCAATAGTTAATGCTAAGCTCCAATTATAATGAAGTGAATCTAATCCTATGTCTCCATGACGAGAAATATTAGGGTGAAATATTTTAGTTAAAAATCTGACCACTGGAGGAGTCATTGGATAGCTAACAAAAATAACAATTAAAATTACAAGTTATTTTGAATAATAATTCAATAAGATTACCTCAACTTACCCATAAGGTATTTGTATATACAGAAAAAATTTCCCTCCTTCAAATGGACTACCAGCTGGTCCTAAAATTGTGGCTTGCCAGTGACACCAATGATTGTCTAGAGATATTGCTCTAATACCTTCAGGTGGATCAGTCTTTAAATCTGAATAAAAATATAACAGTAATATTTATTTTATATAYAACAATATCAAATTTGGGGTAAGACACTTCATCAATAAAATAAAAATACCTGCAATGACAAAAGTTCTTTTTATTTGTAATATTATAACGAAACACAAGTGTATCTCATTGAATAGTTAACTCAGTAGTTACATTATAGTATGGACAAGTATTCTAGTTATATTAATATTGGTATGTACAAGAAAATTATAAATATGTCTCGGKTAAAAAAAAATAGTATGTAAATATGTATAAATAGCATATTTTCCATTTATATAAAAATAATACAAATGCAACATTTTATTTCTATACTAGATCTTGACGATGCACTTGATATTGTATTGGAAATTTTAAATTATGAACTTATTTAATTTTATTGAATAGTAGAATRGTTTGAAGATTCTTATAATTGTCAGAAAGTCATAGTTTTGATAAGCAGAAACATGAACGGTTCCCTCTATCAATGTAGAATTAATTTATATGGGCATATATTAACAAATAAAGACTGTAAGGAGGATAACAATTGGTAACAGGTCAGTCTACTAAAACAATAAAATCCATAGTTAATAAAATCATAAATTAGTAAAATATATATAACATAAATAACATGTTAACACAGTGGTTCTCAACCAGTGTGCTGCGGGCACAATACTGTGCCGAGAGATCGACTAGGTGTGCCGCAAGAAGTTTCTGATATTTGTAATTATACTGGTAAAAATATTGAAAACAGTAATTTATTTCATTACATTTGTGTTGAGTGTGCCGCGAAAATTTGTAATATACAGGGTGATTCTTTTATCAAACAAC